TAACCTCAATCGTTTTGAGAATTAAAAACCTGAGAAATTATTTAACTTTTTTTTTCTTCCGAGTGACTAGTATGTAACTATTCCTAAGGGATTTCGTATGTTATTATTATTTTCATGCTAATTTTAGAGTAGATCTAGGAATTTCGTACAAAACGGGTGGGGGTGGGGGTCTAGACAGAATCTGGGAACGATTTATAACATAATAAGTAGGGGAAAATATTTGTTTATATCCATACAAATTATTCTCCAACGCCTCGGCTTTTATCTTTCAAACAAAATTTCGAGAATGTTGTTTGAAATATAAAAGCCTCGGCTTTTATCTTTCAAACAACATTTCGAGACCGATGAGGTTATTCTGCAACATTCACAAAAACGCGGACTTTATTTCTTAAATGACCAGGGTCTCAAGCTAATTTCGAGTAAAAAAAAGTAGGTCATTTTTAAAATTGATTTCAGAATATCTCGAGAAGTTTATGAAATTTTGGAATGAGCTTTGGTAGAAATGAAGATTGTTTATCTACGAATATTTAAATAGACAGTAAAATTTTAAAGCATTTGATTAAAACATATTTTATAAGCAAAATTGGGTATCCAGTGTAAGAGTTCCGTACCTTTATCTTTTTTTACACACACATTTTTTTTAAGCGATCCAAAGGCCTGTGGACAGGATGGAAGATGGACATGACAAACACTATATGCCCTGGCCATATTCATGATGGGGCATAAAAATGTTGCCACTGAGTAAATGGAAAATACTGAAATGCAACTGAAGGGTACTGAATAGAATTTGTAAAGTCACCACAGGTGATTGATAAAAGAAAACTCTTTGAAAGTTATTTTGAATGTTATAAAACATAAATGGTCACAGAAATATAGCTGAAATGGGTCTGACCATCAGAATATTCAATTTGTGTAATTTTAGGTAAAATATAATGCTTCTTAATATTGGCTTTATATCTTCCCGAACAAGTGAAAGAAGAACATCATAATAAACAAATAAATAAATTATAAAATACATAAATAAAAAACAAATAAGATAAAGAATTTATTATTGCTCATACTTCATTTATTCTTTCAAAAAGTTCAAATTCAAGAAAATTTGCTAAATACAGAATTATTAACCATGAAAATAGATGTACATGTTCTGTCTTTTTAACTGTGTTTCCTTTATCATTTAAATGATATGAATTTATTAATATGAATAAAGCAAACTTTTTTAAAAAATTAATAGTACAGTAATTATAATTTAGGCAAAAAAAAATTAATTTCTTGGTTCTCAGACCCTCCCTCATCTCTTCCAAGGGTGCCTCATTGACCCTTTTTATTGCTAAATCAATAAAATATAAACACCAAATCACCTCCCTCATCATATTTTGAGGTTTTGTACAATGTAAAAAGCTGCCTCATCATGTTTTGGGGGCAATAAAAAAGAAAAAAAAATGCCTCCCTCCCTCATCATATTTCTTGAAAAAAGGCCTGAGAACCAAGTAATTAACTTTGCATGGCCTTATATTAAACTCACTTAAATAATGCAGGTTCTAAAACTATAAATAACAAACACACAGAAAACTTTTACACATGGGAAAGAGGATAAATGTTGTGTGAAAAAGTATATTCTTCTACAACAGTCATTCAAAAATTATTTGCTATACTGGGAAAAAAGTGCATGTATCATGAAGTTCTATACATATACATGTCTATACATGTACAGTAAAAATCCTTGCCATATTGAAAATGTAATGACCAAATTATACAGGCAAGGGAATGACATATCTTACAATTGAACTTCATCCAGTTGTTCAAAGAATTACATGAACTTTGTACAAATTCAACATTGTAGCTAGATGATAAGGCGACCATAATTTGATTTTTAGTTTTACGGATCCGCCGACTCTAAAAATTTGCATTTCAAAAAAAAAATAAAATCGGAATTTTTCAATCCGCTCGTGTTAAACCTGTGTTTTATAAAAACAAATCAGTCAGAAACGTAAAAAAAAAACACGTGCAGAATGGTAGAAGAGGGTGAGCTGTCAACTTTGAATTTATCGAGAGTCTACCAATTCTGAACCCTCCCCATTGCACGTCTTTCTCTATTTTTTTAATTGCTGTTTCTACCGATTTTGAAAAAATCCGGATTTTTTACCTTCTTCGATTTGTAAAATACCGACAAGTCAAAACAAAGATGGCTGTCATGCAGTGTTTACGGAACTTTACCGGTAGCTAATCTGCTTATTGCCACTGATAACAGGTAATAATCAAGGTGTCAACAATGCTACCAGATGTAATTGCAGTTCTTATTGCTCATTATCCTCATAAAAAGTGTATTTTATCAAAGACAGAGATACCAGATGTGGAAATTTTGCAAAAAAGGACGGTAAATAACGTTATGAATTTACTTGATACTTTGCTGCAAACAAGTTTATATGCGCCTAAAACAAATAATTCCTCCATAAATAATACTGTGATCAGGAAAGACATAAACTTTAGTACTTTATTATTAATTTAAAGAGGAAATGAAAGCAAGTACATGGTAACTAATAAAGAGTCTGCAGAGGGAACACCGCGGATTATGAGATTCAGTGACTTAGCAAATCCTACATCAACACCAGTATATGAAAGCCCTTGAAACTGCAGAGCAACTTGACAGTACCTCTAGAAGACTTCTTTGAATTTATGTAGCTAAACAGGGTAATAAAGTTTCTGAATTTCAAAATATAATATTAGCAGATTGGAACAGGACTACAATAATGCTTTGATATCATATGTACTAAGATTAAAAAAAAAAAGAATGCAGGATCTAAGAATCCATCTAATTCATTCTCAATAGATTTCGCATGTAATTTTTAAAAATGTTTAAAGTTTTAAGTTTGGCTAACAGGTACTTCTAATTCCTTCAATTTCAGATCTTTATTAAATCCAGGAAACAGTTCTCAAGATTGCTCCTTATAATGAGAAAAATCCACATACATGCCAACTTTTGAAAATTCCCATGGGGGATTTAGCGCGTGACGACAATTTTCAAAGCTTTAAATTCGCGACATTTTGTAGTGAAATTAAATGATTATGAAATGATTTTTTTTTTTTATTTATGATATTGATATCACTTATCAATACACTTAAGGATTAATTTAACACAAAAAATGATGTTCCAAAATTGAAATATTTTTTCTAAAATAGGTGCCTCTCTCACTAAAGAAGGGGTATTTAGTTACATATGTAAACAACATAATTTCTCTACCAGGACACATATTTTATTTAGTGAAAAATTGAAAATTGTACAACTTTTAAATCTTTTTTTTTCAAAGGCTAAAAAATATATGAGGTTTTGATACTGTAAAGGATCCTGTTTCTGGAAACATTTTTGAGACATTTTATTTATATTTCAATTAATTAGAAATTCTAATAAGATACTAAATTTACAGAAATTTATACCACCTATCCAAAAGAGAATTTTTTTTTTTACAGTCATGAAATTTGTCAGGTTTGATGGTGCCATGTGGGTATTTCCTTAAGTCATGCACATACCTAACATACAGTATTACTATTGGGAGAAGGGAGGGAAAAGAAATTCTAATTGACATACACTTGATTGTTTCATCTTAATTTTTTCATAATATTTTAACTGCCAAACTTTACAATATTTTTCATTATAGGTAGATAAAATCAGCAGCTATGCTTTGTAGTTTTCTACTTTCGTTTTAAAAAAAAAAACGATCTCTTTGGATTCTGATTTTATGGGTTGACTAGTGTTTTATTGTCTTTAATTTATGTTTTTAATAAAAGAACTAACAGTTATCATGTTAATCTATGTGTTTCACCTTGCATACCCCTTAAAACTGACAAGATAATCCCTAATTGCCCCAAGCTATAAGCTACTTGTACCTGGACAACTGCGTGCGTTCATGCGTGAAGTGATTTCCTGTGATTTAACACCTGGTTAAATAAACAATGAAACTTGTCTGTGTGCATTGAATAAACAAGTCTGACATTGTTATCCCGATTGTCAAAATTCAGCGGTAGGGAAACTTTTAAAATCGGAAATTTTGGTGATTTTTTTTTCAAATCGGGAAATTGGGGCAATTTTTCTCTCACGATCGGGAAAGCGGGATGAAAGGGTAAAATCGGGAGGATCCCGCCTAAATCGGGAAAGTTGGCATGTATGAATCCATTCATTCATCAGTTAAAAGCTGGAAACTCAGACCGTCTGCAGAATATTATTAATTCGTTTAATTGCCAAGTTAAACTTCGATATTTACCCTGAATATTATTCAAAGGACACTCAAATGAATGTGCAAACTATACAGTGAAGAACAAAATTAAATTTTTATAATTTCAAATATTACATGGTATTCATATTAAACAATGTTTGAATTAAAAGTGGTAATTTTTATAAAAAAACAAAATTTATACATGTAATGTGTATTAATATTAAAAAAAAAACATATCTTGTAAGTTGTTTTTTATTTTGTTTTATACAACAGTGAAATGTGTGATATTTGGAAAAGGTCGTTGCTAGAATGATTTTTGTCTTTTTTTTTTTTTTTTTCGTCCTCCGACTTGACCTTTCTTGAAAAAAAATCCGTAAAACTAAAAATCAAATTATGGTCGCCTAATGAGCTAACAATTTATTACACTGATATGTATGCTGAATATAAATTTATGTACAGTAATATATCACATTCTGTAAAATCATTTAAATTTGAGGTCAATGTTCGTGAACTAAAATTTTCATAGCTCATCAGTAATTGCTTTTTTTTTTATGGGTAACTTGTATATTATGCATAAATATTCAATAAATTGATATTTTGACAGAGTTGGTATGGATATAAAGGCCGTCTCAAGAGAAAAAAACGAACATTGGTCCCTCAAAAAAATGATAATTCCAGATTATACACTTTAATATCACTGACAAAGCATGGCACTACTTTCGGGTGAGAGTGTGTTTTCAATAACAAGAAATCTCCAAAGTGTCAATGAATAATTTGGTCCTAGTAAAAAAAAAATGTCCCCCTAATGTAAACTATAATGGAAGTACAATTAACGACAATGAATTTCTATTCAAAATGCCTGCATAATAATAGAACATCCGCAGGCAATATTTCATGTCTTTCCCACCCTTAACCTCAGTAAAACTTTTGACTAGCTTCTTAAACTTTAACAAAGAAAAAAAATAGCATCAAATATAAATCTGAGAAAAAAACAAGTGGAGAGTTTTGCAATTTCATTTTTAGCACTTACATGCTTGATTATTTAAAACTTGAATCCAAAGCATTTCAACTGTTCAAGTTCTTCAAAAATCTCATTTCTAGACTAGTATATCTTATGATACAAGATTCTCTTAAAGCAGTAAGTTGTAAATGATAAAAGCAGAAATCTACACAACCTTTATCACATACATGTACTTAAAAAAAAAAAATATTTCAACTCATTATCTGCATGTTACTACATTGTTTACCTCTTTATTTCAGAATATACATCCAGGAGGAAAAAAATACCTTCCAAAAAACAAATTTCTGTTCAAGAAAAAAAGTTTCATATTTTTTCTTACCAGAATTAGGTACAATGCATGCATTTATTTCACAGAAAATCAATATTACTAGCTTAATTTAAGAGATTCTGACCCTATACTATTTGCTTCTGGTGCTTTGCAATCAAAAAATAATATGCATAATTCAAAGCAAAATCTTCATTTTTTAGAATTTATAACTAGTTTCTAAATACACATATTTTACGCTAGATTTTTGTACATTTCATCAATTTGTGGCTTAAACATAACTTTCAGTTCATGTCTTTTTGCCTTAAATGTTGGTGTCAGAAGTCCATTTTCCACAGAAAACAATTCTGGATAGAGGAAGATATCCTTGACCTGAAAATATAAAATTTAATGCTTTAAGCTGCTGATATGCTGTTGAAATACTACATACTTTGAATCATAAAAAAGTAAATGAATAAAATTATTGCTTGCAAATTATTAAAGTATATGTATGAAAAGGATGTGTTGGGGTAAAATCTGGAAAAATCTCAATATAGGATACGACAAATGAAAGACAATAAAGAGAAATGATGTCATTCTTCAGTTCAGTACAAGTGTAGATCAGCCATATTTGTTAATTTTTCTCTGCTACAATAAATGACTTAAAAAGAAGCATTCACTTTTCTGAAGTTATGCATAAGATCAATTACTATATAACTGTTTCAACCATGCAGCTAATTGTTTAAGCTTGATACACTCACTTGTTCAAATGAATGGAGTCCTCCTGCTTTTCCATATTTGGTCATGTCGGCCAAAATCTCCTTCTTCACATCCTATAAAGATGGAAAATATATACATTCAGAAATTTTAAAGGGAAATTATACAGTATGTTGGTCTTTTTACACTTTGATTGGTTTCATAGAACTCTATAAAACTGAAAGTAATTATGTCACTTCTTTCTTAAGATTTTACTCACAGCATTAGAACATAACTCCTCCATGGACTGAGTCAGATTTAGTTTGGTTTTGGCCCAGTTTGGTAACACGTCTGGATCTGGTACAACTACACCAACTAAACTCGACTAAAAGCAGAACAGGTTGAGAGTGAAGAATGTGATAATCAATTTTCTTTTTCATTTTTTATTTATTATTATTTTTTTTTTTTTTAACGAAAATCTTATCTATGTCTGAACAAGAAATATAATACTGAAAAGAACAAACTTAAATTTATTTTATTTTGAACAAAAAATGAATCACTATAGAGAAGAAACTTAATCAGTATTTTATTTATGTCTGTTCAAGAAAGATATCAATAAAGTGGTCAAATCTTACCTTTAAACTCTCTCCGTGAACAAAGACTTGAGCCACCAGCTGGCTTCTTACATAGACATTTTCTATCTTTTCTGGGGCAATGTATTCACCCTAAAAAATTCAAAAAAAAAATTCTTATACTAGAACTATTAACTATGTATAGTAAGTGACACAAATTAATAATTGAATTTAAACACCAAAGAACAATGCATTAAGAAAATAGATATAACTATTTAGTGTCTATTTGCTAAAAAAAAACTATTTTGTATTTTGTTCTCCAATATATACCTGTGCTAATTTGAAAATGTTCTTCTTCCTATCAATAATTTTCAAGGTTCCATTCTGCAAAAGAAAAAAAAGAAATGAGATCAACTGTCCGACACTCGGATCAAGTTACATGTAATGTTTAATTTCTTGTAATGTATTTTACGGATCATCTTTTTAATCTACTCAGAAGGGTCTTACTTCTAGCCACTGTCCAATATCCCCTGTGTGAAGCCAGCCATCTTTATCTAGAGCCTCGTCAGTTTTGGCTTGGTCCCTGTAGTAACCAAGGAACACATTGGGTCCTTTTATGCAGACCTATAGGACAGAGATATGAAATGAATGTTATGTCAATACCACACAACTTTTATATTACATGTATCTAAAATTGCTTAAAATCATCTTAGTTTAATAATTAAAGGTGATCCTGATAGCTTATGAATTTTATTTAATTTGAATAAAATTGTGAGTTAACATTTCTCTAAGCATGAATTTCAGATGACATCGATTCTTGGACTTACCTCCCCTTTGTCATCTTTTGCATAATAATTCATTTCTTCAACATCAGCCAGCTTGATCTGACAGCAAGGAAGAGGTGGACCTACATTTCCTGCAGACAAAACAAAAAAGGAAACAAATAATTCCAATGATTGCTAGCATTTTGTTATACTAAATATTCTATACTGTTAAACTGTAATGCACACTTCATGTTGTTTGTTCACTTTTCATTTTTACTAAATTTGATTAATATACAGCAATTTTTTTGTAATTTGTTTTGAAAGTAATGGCATTCAAGAACTTTTGTGATTTACACAATACACTGTATACTTAGTACCCACTACTGCTTGATGTTCATTCATTTTGGCCTGTTTTCCCCCATTTCAGATAAATTTTTTCTGCATTATATAATTAATTATAGCTACCCGATGGTGTCAACCCGGGTCCTTTCATGTAAACCTGATGGTGTCAACCCAGGTATCTCGAAATTATCTCAAGTATCTCAAAATTTAACCTGACGGTGTCAACCCAGGTTCCATTCATTAGAACCCGATGGTGTCAACCCGGGTACCCTCATACACAACCTGATGGTGTCAACCCAGGTTTCTATGGTTACAGTTTTAGTTATAAATTCCTGACGGTGTCAACCCAGGAAGTTCTTTTTAAATTTTTCTATATGTGAGTAGCCCCCGAGAAGGCCAAAATTTATTGTGTAAATGAAATGTATGATAGAGTTGTTTTGTTTTTTCTTTATGTTTGATTTGTGTTCAATAAATGTGGAAATTTGAATGGCTCTTATTATATGTATAAAATGATATTTTTTATGTAAGAAAAAAATTTTGTTTATACATAACCTTCAAGTTTTTCATGTGTACCTAAAATTTTCTCCCCTATACATTTTGTTAGTTATTGAACTACTAATTTAACATTCATTGGGTGAATTCATGTAGTAAGAATTGCAGTGTAATTTTGGTTAAAGTGTTGTAAATCTAATCGAATTTGTAAAAACAATCATTGTTTGACACTTAGACAAAGAAGCTATTTTTAGAGAGATTATCTGTCTTAGGAGCCAGAATTTCATGTCCATATTAGGTAATGCATAGTGCGAGGGACAGGAAGATCCCGGGGGGTCCGTAGCCACGTGACCCCCAAACTAATCCGCATCAAATTTCATGTAACATCATCATTCCTTTGTTCTAACTTCAGCTGGATGTACATGCTCTGTGTTTTTTGTTATCCCACCCACCTTCCCCAGACTGCACCTTTTGTAATATTATGTTTCAAAAATGTTTTAAAATATTTAATTGTACATGTATATACCATCATTGGGGCTCTCACAAATTTTTATGTATTCATGGTCAACTGCCTGTTTGGCCTGTTTTCCCCCATTTCAGATAAATTTTTTCTGCATTATATAATTAATTATAGCTACCCGATGGTGTCAACCCGGGTCCTTTCATGTAAACCTGATGGTGTCAACCCAGGTATCTCGAAATTATCCCAAGTATCTCAAAATTTAACCTGACGGTGTCAACCCAGGTTCCATTCATTAGAACCCGATGGTGTCAACCTGGGTACCCTCATACACAACCTGATGGTGTCAACCCAGGTTTCTATGGTTACAGTTTTAGTTATAAATTCCTGACGGTGTCAACCCAGGAAGTTCTTTTTAAATTTTTCTATACGTGAGTAGCCCCCGAGAAGGCCAAAATTTATTGTGTAAATGAAATGTATGATAGAGTTGTTTTGTTTTTTCTTTATGTTTGATTTGTGTTCAATAAATGTGGAAATTTGAATGGCTCTTATTATATGTATAAATTCTAAGCTAAGATTTATTTAAAGTGCTTTCAGTCATACAAGTTATTTCCCTTTTCTTTACATTTTCTAAACATTCACCAAGTCAAGTTTGAGATAAAATATGAGCAAAATGATAAATTCTTTTTACAACAATGAAGATACTTACATTGAAAGTTTAAATACAGTCATCTTAAGGACATGAAGCTTCAAACTTATTTTTGAAAACCCTTCAAGATGTTAAAAACTAATTTTTTGCTAAATGTATAAAACGAAGGTATAAAAGCCATCTTCATATACCTATACACTGTACTCTGTCCAGACCTGCCTTAGGAGCTACATACAGAAACCTTGTGTTTCCATCAGGCTTCTGGGAAAGTCCCCAGACCAAGGGTAGAGAGTACCCAGAGGTGACCTCTTGTATTCTGAACTAATGTCCCTCAAATAGCTGTGATGCCTGTTGGTGGAGCTGGGACTGTTACAGAACTTAGTCATAGTATAGTCATGCAGGTACTGCAGTCTGCAGCAACAGAATGGGGCTTATTCTGTCAGAGTACTTCTTTTGTCACATAAAAAAATCATCTGTCATATTTTTTTTCTACACGTCATCCTAGAGTCACGCAGATGCATGAACGGGGCTTATTCTGTCATTTTTGTCACATAAAATTCTGACCATTATTCTCTTTTTCTTCCTATCTGTGTTGTCATTTGACTATACCTGTGTCGGGATCTCCAACCAGTGTTACTGAACAGATAGCATGGGATTCTGTCTGGCCATATCCCTCCACAACCTGTCAAAAAAAGCAACATCACTAAATCTTCATAGGGGTCCAATATCTATCATTTTCATGGTATGAAGAGAACCCATGAATCCACGTCCACCACAATATGTTAAAATTTCAATATAAAGCAACTCTATAGATCGTCAACCATAAAATCAAATCCCCCCAAACCAATATTTTTTCCCTCATCCATGTACATGAAAATTAGGCCTCGTAAAAATGGGTGATTTTACAGTAACAAGTGCTTTCAAATCTAATGATGAAAATGATTCTATATATTCTTTTTCTTATGATAAAAACATTATCAATAGTATTTGAAAAATATGAATATGCCACACTTCACATGAACGTGTATATGTTTACAAGCCATTGATTTATTTGGTTTACTTACAGGACATCCCACGACACATCTCAAGAAGTGAAGGACTTTGGGGGACAGGGGGGCAGATCCTGTTGTTATCAGCTTAACCTTTCCTCCCAAACCTGCCTGAATCTTCTTAAATACCACTTTGTCCCATAAACTATCATTCCTAATTATACTCCTGTGGAGAAATGTTAAATAACATGTAAAAAATGCTTCAAACAATCTGCCATGGACAGGTGATTTTGCTTCGTTCTAAGCCCATCCGTCTAGTCAACTATATATAATAAAGTCAAGGGGAATGAAAATCACTAAGTATTAAATGTCAATTCATTATAAGCATGTTTTCTATAACCATGTTTTACTGTAAAATGTGTATCAAATCAATTTTTTTATATATATACCGGTATATACTTGTTTTAAAAGTTACTGAAAATGTATAAGCAAGATTACATGCTAGTCAAACAATAGCAACTGATTAAATTCCTTTGAATGAAATACCACTGAAATAACCATTTTACAATTAATGCTACTTGACTTCAATGTGGAGTATTCATAAATTACAAGACAATGACAGCTGAACGATTTCGTTTCAAATTCCACAAATTTATTCTTACTTTTTGAGTTCATTTTCCTTGCTGGCAATGGCCATGTTAAACAACTTTCTTTTTATAGACGAGCCCTCATTTAACTGGGTCATGACCTACAAAAAATGAAAAATTGAAATAAATGTCAACAATACACTCCTAATTGTATGTCCTCATTGTTAAAAACAATAGCTCATTTCCTTTTACATAACATTTTCAGAAATAAATCAACTGATTTAAACGTTAAAAAAAATCATCAGAATATACAGTCAAACCTCATTACATTGTACTTGAACACAATGGGACAAAATCACTTTGTCATATCTAAGTTAATTAAATTATAGGTGTTCAAGATACTGAAATTCAACTGTATATCCATGTATCATATTGAAAACGTGTACAACATCCATGTAGGTGTGCTAATGGCCTTACTTTGTCATAGACTCTATTGAGTAGCCTTGGTACAGATGGGAATAGCGTGGGCTGTAGCTCTTTAATGTCATCCATCAATAGCTTGACATCACCTTGGAAGAACCCTATCCTGGCTCCATTTAATACACAGTAACACTAAAAGAGGGGAAAATAACAATAATTTATTTCAAATCACAAAGAAAGAAAAAAATACTTGTATGTTTGATGTCAAAACACTTCCATTCAATTAATATTTGTGTATGAAGTAATTAATTTTCCGTAACTTTGTATGCATATAAATAATTTTCAATAATTATTTATATTTAGTATTTTGAGAAACTATATGTATGTATCCATACCTCTAATAACCTTTCATATGAATGAGCTAAGGGGAGATAAGAGATGAGAGTATCTTCAGGAGAAATGTCTATTCCACCAGGTTTCTGCCAAGAAAATGAAAGGGTACAATCATGGATGTATAAATTTAATTTACAAACACTGAATATTTAAGTCATATTTAGATATATACCCTTTCAATCGTGAAGAAATGCAGAATTCATCTCAGATGAGAATGAATTTAACATTATGGAAAAGGAAGATCTAAAAATACAATGAAACATGGATCTAAAGTATGACAAAACTCACCAATATTGCTGCTGCAGCCACCACTGTTGCCATAGTTCCTTTGTGTGTAAGCATGGCACCTTTAGGTAAACCTACAAATATAATTTGTTTAAAATCATTATAAGAGTTATTACATTAATTTTATTTTTACCGCTCAGATATTTTTATATTTGTTCATGAAATATAGAAATGCTTGTCTGTGAAGCAAATTGAGATTTATATCAATGATTAAACTAATAATAATTCACTCAATAGACTTAGGCAAAACAGCCCCATATGCATATAACAGTAATATTATCATGGCATAAACTATCCAAATCAAGAATTTAAAATTAGGGAGGGGGGACCTCTAATTAAGTGTATCTGTTTAAACTAATGTACAAAATAAACATACATTAAGTGAAAAAATTCCCCTCCCCCCTTTTCCCTAAATATACCATGTTACTGTATGTGTACTTAAAAGCAGGCTTCATATTTTAGCGGCTTTGGCATGGACAGCAATGCTATAATTCATGAATACCATTAAAAAATCATTTATACATACAATATAAAGCGCAGACATGTGTAGCGCTAATTTATGATTGCACTAACCACTGACTACCCACTAATTGCGCTAAATGTTGAATACACCAATATATGTACATGTACAGTATTTGTTACATCATTATGTTATTTGAAGATTGGCTATTTTATATTTACTATCACATTATGTCATTCAAGGAAGCAAGGGGCTAAAAATCATTAAATTTGAAATACTTATATAAGTTATGTATCAATGTTTACTAGGATAATTTAATTCCAGTAAATCAATCCTATAATTTTTAATTTCACTTTTCAGGAAATAAATCCTTCACCCTACAGTATTACTTATTGTCACACAAGAGACAGGGTACGACATAATAAAATGTCAAAAATAGGGAAAGCACTTTACCAAATATATAACCATATGCCAGCGATTAAAATATATTTTATACACAACATGACACCCTGATAAGGTTCAGATTTATTAAGTTGAACCAATAAATATATACATTTTAACACTACATACACAGCATATTTACATTACAAAACAGCAAAATAACAAATTAAAAAATATACAAAAATGTACAAATTTTTTTTTTTTTTTTGGCATCTTGGGGGCTGCTCTCTCTTAATCTTAACAGCATATTAAATAACCTGGGGGGAGCCCAGCAGGTTATTGATTGTTACCCCAGAACCTGGGGGGAGCCCAGCAGGTTCCGGGCTTGATACCTGGGGGGAGCCCAGCAGGCAATCATAGATACTCAATAAAATAATGGGTATACTCTATTCAACCTGGGGGGAGCCCAGCAGGTTGATGATAATTTCAAGTATATAGTACCTGGGGAGAGCCCAGCAGGTTACGTTATGTAAGTTTCATTTAGTACTCCATTAAAAACCTGGGGGGAGCCCAGCAGGTTGATAATGATTTAATGTATAAAGTACCTGGGGGGAGCCCGGCAGGTAAGTTATGTAAGTTTCATTTGATGTATACAGCCTGGTAAGAGCACAGCAGGCCTTAGGAGTGTTGAATACACAAATTTAAATTTCTTACTAATTACGAGTCGATAATTAAGTAGCGTTATTTGAAATTGGGGGATGAAAAAATTCCAAATATGGGAATTTTAATGTCAAAATAAAGGAGCAGCCCCTTTAAAATAAGTTGGCAATACATATAAGATTACAGTTAATGACTGGTAAACATTAGGCATGTAAATATATATGAACATACTGTATCATCATCATGAAGATATTAACTTGGCACATAAACAATAGGAGATGAAGGGGTGGTGGGTGGGATAACAAAACGATCAAGATACAGATTCTGGCTACTTCAATTACAAAACATTGACTAAGTTAGCGTCCCTTTCTAGGATTTTGATTGGTTAAGACGATCACGTGGTTTAGTTTATAAACAGCTCAAGCACATGCTAACAGATTACGTAAATAGGTACAGCTCTGTTCACACAGTACATAACAAAGACAGTTGTGTATAAACAAAAATTAAATAAATTTACATTTTATACACAACATGACACCCTGATAAGGTTCAGATTTATTAAGTTGAACCAATAAATATATACATTTTAACACTACATACACAGCATATTTACATTACAAAACAGCAAAATAACAAATTAAAAAATATACAAAAATGTACAAATTTTTTTTTTTTGGCATCTTGGGGGCTGCTCTCTCTTAATCTTAACAGCATATTAAATAACCTGGGGGGAGCCCAGCAGGTTATTGATTGTTACCCCAGAACCTGGGGGGAGCCCAGCAGGTTCCGGGCTTGATACCTGGGGGGAGCCCAGCAGGCAATCATAGATACTCAATAAAATAATGGGTATACTCTATTCAACCTGGGGGGAGCCCAGCAGGTTGATGATAATTTCAAGTATATAGTACCTGGGGAGAGCCCAGCAGGTTACGTTATGTAAGTTTCATTTAGTACTCCATTAAAAACCTGGGGGGAGCCCAGCAGGTTGATAATGATTTAATGTATAAAGTACCTGGGGGGAGCCCGGCAGGTAAGTTATGTAAGTTTCATTTGATGTATACAGCCTGGTAAGAGCACAGCAGGCCTTAGGAGTGTTGAATACACAAATTTAAATTTCTTACTAATTACGAGTCGATAATTAAGTAGCGTTATTTGAAATTGGGGGATGAAAAAATTCCAAATATGGGAATTTTAATGTCCAAATTGAACGATTTAACCTTGGTTAATGAGTGAGAGCCCCCAAAGAGAATAAATGCCAATTTTAAACAGATAAAAACTATAACTAAGTGATACAATGACATAGGTATAAGAACACAAATGAACTGGTAAAAACATTGTACACACTAACATTATTTACCATTACACATTTTTTCCTGTGCTTCTTTAAGCACTTTTTCATCAGTTCTTATGTATCGAACATAACAATTTGAAGACCAACGCCCTAGAGTCTGTATGAGATGGTCCTGAATACCAGCTTCAGCAGCAGAAGTGGCCGCACCTATTCGAAAGGAATGACCACAATATTTCTTGTCATCATAACCTAAAACTGCCATTACATGTCTTATATAAGATATAAATTGATTTCTTGACAAAGGTGAACCATCATTATCTATAAACAAAGGTGAATCTGGTTTAGCACCTTGAGAGATTCGTAATTGGCGGTACTCATGCATAACATCTACTGGTTTAGTATGTACATTGTTAAATACATGTATTGAAACACCTTGACGAAAAGGGTCAGTTTTCGAACATCTTAAACACAAAGAATAAGATAATTTATCTTTCTGTACTGTGACATCTTTAAAACTAAGGAAATCATGCTCTTCATTTCTATTCTTAATGGTAAATTCTCCACAACGAAGAAATGCAAAAAATGCCATCAGAGAACAACAAGATAACATAAGATCAATGAATGGTGAAAAAATTGATCCATTCAATCTATTAACCATTTGACATAATATTTGATAAGTAACAGGAAATCTTTTAGGTTTTGAAACGTTTGATTGGATTTTTTTAATACCTCGTAAAATACAATCTAATCTGTCATGCTCTTTAAAAGGATTAAAGTGTCCAGCTTTAAGAAAATGAAATCTTATGCCAGCCAAATACAGCTTAATGGTAGAAAATGTTAACTTTAATGAGTAATGACAATAAGAAACAAATTCAATAAGAACATCTTCATTGATCTCTGGTAAAGTACCTAATGGTACTGCTATTCCACACAAGGTCACAAAGGTTAAAAGGTGTTGAATACCAGTTGAATATGCTCTCGCAGTCTGTGGACTAATAGCTGCATTCCATAGAGTCTCTATATCTTTTACATTGTGATCTCCTGGTAAGGAAGACAGGCTGTAGCTTGTTTGTCTGCTTCTGGTGCTAGCTTCCGAAATTTGTCCATCTGGAAACGAGAAATGGCATCGGCTACAGTATTAAGTTTCCCTGGAATATGCCTAGCATGTACAGTGAAATTGTAATTTGCTGCAGTGAAAGTTAGTTTTCTCATTAATCTCATGATTGACTTTATTTTTGAACGTCCTTTGTTTATAATTTCAACTGTAGCTAAATTATCGCAGTGGAAAAGAATTCTTTTCCTTGACCATTGCTGACCCCATAAGACACATGCCATTACAATGGGATAGAGTTCATAATAGGCCATAGAGGGTTTTTCTCCATTGCTAAACATGTCTGTTGGGAAGATATCCTGGAACCATTTCCCTAAGTAATAACCCCCAAATGCAGTATCGGTCGCATCTGTATACAAGTGCATATCTGCTGCTATAGTAATATTGTCTTCAAGGAAGAAAGCTACACCATTCCATGAAGATAAAAATTTGTACCACATTCTAATGTCTAATCTACACTCAGAAGTAATCGTCACATGATGATGAAGTTCTGAAACTGTTGTGGACAATGATATTAAATATGACACAAATGAACGGCCTGGACGTACAACACGACACGCAAAATTTAGGTGACCCAATAGACTGAGTAGTTGTCGTTTAGTGCAAGTCTTCTTGTCCAAAAATGAATCTAACGTCTCAAGTATTCTCTGTAGTTTGTCAGGTGGAAGTCTTGCTTCCATCTTACTACTGTCCAGCACTATACCTAAATATTCTAAGCACTGTGAAGGGCCCACACTTTTGTGAACAGCTAGAGGTATGCCCAACTTTTGAAACATGGTTGTTAACGTTTCCATGGTAATGTCTGCTGGAAAGTCTGGGGGGTCTACTGTCAGGAAGTCATCAAGGAGATGTAAGATATTGGTAATGCCATAGTTATTTTGTGCAATCCAACACAGAGTTGTAGAAAGTGTGTCAAAAATCTTTGGACTACTTCTTGAACCAAACACCAGTCTTGTAAAGTAGTAATATTGATTATCCCATTTTATCCCATGAAATGGCCAAAGGGTAGGGTGTATTGGTATAAGTTTAAATGCATCTGAAATGTCTACTTTACACATCCAACTGTTTTTTCCGAGTTTTTTAATTAAGTCTATGGCGTTATCAATAGTCACATATGACAAGGAAAATTCTGTTTTGTCAATTAGAGAGTTAAGACTAGCATGTTGATTTTCATTATGTGGAGCCGATAAATCAACGATAAGTCTTTTCTTTTTCGAATATTTCCCTTCAGCAACTCCTATCGGGTTCACTCTATATAAGTCAAAAGGCATAGACAAGTATGGACCCGAAATAAAACCCTTGTCTAGCTCTGTTTGGATTAGTTGGGAAGTAATGTCAGGTTGTTTTCTTGAAGATAACAAATTTTTACATTCATAGGTTTCTGTGGGTAATGATTTAAATCCTGTGTCAAACCCATATTTCAAGCCATTCACTAAATATTCCACAGTATGTTTATCTGGATGGTTAAGAAGGAGTTTCTCTAAAAGTTCTATGTTAACTGGCGTTGAAACTGTTGTACTAATCACTGGTTCCCCCGATTCGGTGACCCTTTCCCCCGGGGGTTACATCGTTTTTTGAACTGCACATAGATTGTGGATGCCCAGTTTGTTTGCAAGTTTTACACGCATGCAAGTTGTTGCATCTTTTGCGATTGCACCCCATGTCATTGTAATTATTACAAATTTCTAAACCATCTTTGTAATGCCTAGTTCTTCCATAGCTATCATTAACGTTCGTGTTAGAATATGGACGGTAAGGCTGTGAGAGGTGGTAAGGCTTGACCCCCGTCTCGACGTTTTTGTGGCAGAAAGGAGCAGTGTGACTAACACTGTTGCAAAGTGTGCAAGTGACAGGCTTTTCATTTGCAAATATATTACAGAATAATGTATTGTTTCGTACCGACCAGTCAATAGGGATGTTTTGGTATTTAAGGTAAGCCGCCGCCCTAGCGCTGAACTGTCTGTGGTACTCATAAAATGCTGTACCACCATACCGTGTGGCCATGTCAATTATATCCCGCTCGTATAAATCTAATTCTTTTCTCCGTCTCGGGAAAGCCTCACACATAGTGCTTTTATAAATGCCAAAAGCCTGAATGAATTCAGTGATAGTTAAGGTCTTATTCAACCTGGGGTCTTTCTTATCCTTGTCAGATTTGTCTTTGTCAATTTCTGGCCCGGTATAGTAGGGAATCAGAATGGTAGCAAGGTTGACATCCTTACCTTCAACAATTTGTTTCCTTAGATTTGGTGAAATTGTTTCTACATAGGGTAACGATTCCGCAGAATATCCGTATGTAGTCTTGACTCCCACTGTTTTGGTAGAATTTTGGTCGGCCCACGCTGTTGACAGAGTGTAGTTTTCCGTCTCTGTAGGCTCCCGAGGAGTTCCGCTTACCACGTCAACTCGTGCCATAGTGTTTTGAACCCCGGTCTGGCGTAATTGTTCAGCGCTTCCAGCGGCAGCGGGTATCGTTGGTTGTGGTCTCGACATGTTATTAACCCTTTCTGTTAGAGAAATCATGCTGCTCTGGAGACTCTGGACTGTTGTTGTTAAATCTCTTACCACGCCCAATAGTTCAGTTCTCACGTCTTGGCTTGGTGAGGGTCCATTATGTGAGGGTCCGCTAGGTGAAGGTGTCACGTGACTTCTTATCGAGTCTGTCAAATGTCCCGATTCTTCATTTGTCGCTTGTTTGTATAGGGACACTAAAACACTGCGCCTGGTATTTTGTGGCGGTGTTATACCTTTCAAGTTCAATTCCTGCCGAAGTTTATTTACCGTCCAATTCTCTGGTAAGGATTCATCATAATCCTGCCGATTAGGCCGATTGCGATTTCTGATCGGAGGCATTTCACAAATTTATCACAGTCTAAATCACAAAACAGATCACAAAATGTCCAAAAGTATAATCCAGCGACATATAAAAGTCACATGTCAAACTTTGAAAACGAAAGTACAAGTAAATAATAGGTTAAAGTTCAAGTAATAACAAAACGATCAAGATACAGATTCTGGCTACTTCAATTACAAAACATTGACTAAGTTAGCGTCCCTTTCTAGGATTTTGATTGGTTAAGACGATCACGTGGTTTAGTTTATAAACAGCTCAAGCACATGCTAACAGATTACGTAAATAGGTACAGCTCTGTTCACACAGTACATAACAAAGACAGTTGTGTATAAACAAAAATTAAATAAATTTACATTATGTACTTCTATAATCCTTCACTCCAAGTTTATTTACAATTCACTATTCAACAACTATAGAAAGAACAACCCTGAACAAATATTTACTGCAATAAAATGAGTATAATGGGTTCTGTCATGTGTCCCCATGTAGATTTATTTCCTGCTTACTGTAGCATATAATAAAAAGAGGATTACCTGTTGTACCACTGGTGTAGCATAAAACACACAAATCATCAGGCTTACATGGCTGAAAAATAAATCAAAAATTCAGTTTTACCACATACAATACACAGTCATGTATCAAGCAACAGGAAAATTTTTTCTTCTTTCCTTCAAGAATTCACATAATAACTCCACATTTACGTAAACCAGTTATGGCTGAAAATATATGACATTCAAGATACACATTCTTTTTTTCACTTTCACAGAAATCAGTCTTTGTTTGGATTTACCGGTAGTATAAATCATGATTGCAAACATCTGACTTTCAAATAATTACAGTCTACTAGATCTAAATATTGCTGACTTTTTCTTTAAATTAAACTTACCTTTGGCTCCTGGGGTTTCTGTTCACCTAGAGCCTGAAAATTACATAATCATATAAGAATTTTAAATAACCAAATAATAAGTTTATGCTCAATTATTAACCACTTCAATTCAATAACTATGAAATAATTCTCCTTTCAAAATATCATAAAACCATCTTTTTTTAAATATCACTTTTAATTAATAGCTGCAACTTTGACTTTGCCAATAAAAAATTTACAAGGATTTAAAAACTTATGCCTCATCAATTCAAAGATAATAAGTTAAAAAATCTCAAAAAGAAAAAAAAAATTTAAAGAGAGGAAAAAAATTGTGACACATGAAAAATTAACTCAGGTAAGTAAGCCCTAATATAGAAGACTCAGATTTACACTGTAAACCAACTTTTATTCGCGTGCGAGAAATACATGTATCAGTAAGTTCCTCGATTTACTTTAACTCGAGAATATCAATCGCCATGAACCACTGATTTTGCTATAAAGCATTTGTAGAGAATATTTCCTCAGTTGTGAAAATTAATCATTGCGGATTGATTTTGCACTAACGAATCGCGAATAAAAGATGACGCAAATAATAGTTGGTTTACAGTATACTGGGTAACGGTACAAGTGCCCACCTCTAGCTCAGAGAAGGAGATGAGGTCTATCTTGTGACTGGCGGCGCTCTCTCTGATTTCCGCAGACGGTTCCTCCACCAGCACCACCTTCCTCAGATTGGGTGTCTCCTTGATCCTGTCCAGCAAGGCCTTCACCTTCACGATCTTATCACAGATCACCAAACTTATCTCAGCTGGGAAAACAACAGTTTTATACATGTAATAAATATTTTCAAAAGAATTCAAGACTTAGATAAAGATATTTAATGACAAGACTTAATGCTTTGTCTACGATTTAATTATGATGGGGATGTGGCTTAGCTATATCCTTCACTGTGCCAATGAATTCCCTCTAATTTATTTATAACAAAATTGATTTTTTTGTTCTAAAATATTCTAACAAGCATCAAATTATTATACAGCACATCATCTATAAGCAAACAATTTTAATCCCATTAAATTTACATAATTATTTTTTCAGCTGCGACAAATGCAATCATGAGGGTAATATTTGTTTTCCTCAGCTTCATCTCTATTTTTCTCTCAATTATCAATGGACTCAGATAACCTTCATCTACATTCATAATGCCTTTTACCTTGGTTGATAATGTGTGTACAAGCTTCAGCACCCAAGGTGTCATACAAAGGTAC